CATGTGGGCCCAAGTACATTAGTTCACTTAACCATAACCATAACCATTACAATCTCCATTTGACAGAAAGGGAAACTGAGGCATGGAGAGGCTAAACAGTGCACCCAAAGGTACACGCTAGTCAGTGGCAGGAGGCCCAGGCAGCGTGGTCCCAGGACCCACGCCCAGCCATTGCAGTCCGCCGGATCTCTGGATATGAGCACAGGGAAGGTGGAGCCCGAGGATGAAGCCCACTGTGGAAGCCCACAGAAATGTCTCCCCAGGCAAAGGATGGGGGCACTGAAGAGTGACACAGACAAGAGGCCACTAAAGCACCGGGTACCCCCCGCCCAGCCATCTGAAGCCAGAAGCTGCAGGGCTGGACTCACCAGGTGCCACTGCTGCGGGTACTTGGGGTCATTGAAGTGGACGCTGCGCTTGGTCCGCTTGAGCAGCCTCTGCTCTGAGTGCCAGCTCACGGCTTCGTGCCTGGCCAACACGGCCTCCACCTGCTGCCGGACGGCCTCCACCTGCGGGGCCTGCCGATGCCCTGCCGGCTGGACCAAGAGGTAGTGCCCCTGGAGCTCCCCGATGCGTCCTGCATTCACCAGCCCTGCCGCCTGGGCCAGGGCATCTGCCCGCTGCTCCAGCGACTGTTCTTCCCTTTCGCCTTCTGGGCTGTCCACACGCACCGCCCAGCTCAGCCCCTCCAGACCCTGGGCCCCAGGCCCACCTGCCCCCACCAGGCCCATCACCCAGGGAAGCAGTAGGAAGAGCCCGGCTAGCTCCAGGCAGAGGCAAGTGGGCCTGGGGCCCAGGGGGGCATCTGAGTGTGGCACTTTCTGCCTCCCCTTGGGCATCAGAGCAGTAGGCTGCAGACAAAGAGAAAGGACATCAGAGGTAAGAGCGCGATAACACGGCACACCTGGAAATCCCTAAGCCGTGCCTTTTAAATCATTAAACATGTGATCCTCTCCTGTTATTCACAGTTATCTCTGACCAACAGGGATAAGCCCCCAGGGGCAGTGTGGGCCAGCACGAACCCGGTGGGTCCCTCAGTGGCATGATTATCACTAGATAATCAAGCAGGATGTCCAGCTGCTAACAGGCACCGTGCTGCTCTTTCCCACTGTTGCCATGAAAAGGGCTCAAAAGTCACAGGACTCCTGCAAATTCCTGGCAGAGTCATGACCGTTCTTTAGAAGAGACCCTCCTCCCTTCTTCAGAGGCGACAGAAATCTTTCCCCAGCTGACGTCTTGGTCCCCTTGTCCTGAGGGCTAACTCCCCGCAGTGGGGCCCCGTTCCCACCTGGACCCTGAGTGAGGCTGAGCTCCTGGTCTGGCTAACCACCTCACGCTCATTTTGTGCAAACGGAGAAAAGGCATCCCTTTCGCTGTGAGCAGTGGTGACTCCAGGCACAGACTGCAGACCTGTAGGCCCCAAGAAAACAAGAAATGGTGTCCTCCCAAACCCAGTGGAGCAAGCAGAGGCTGGCCACGAACTCTAGGATCCGTGATCAAAGAAACTGCAAGTGACTAAGTATCAGTTCCAGGAATCCCAAATAGGTCACAGACTAGAACCGAACTGGTCCAGTAAGGCCAGATCAGTGCATAACCCAGAAACCGTACTTCTCGACCTAAACGTCAGGCCATCGTCTTTTCTTTTTTTCCTAGATGCCTAGAAGAGGGCTTGAACTCTTAGCAAAAACCCCTCTTGAAAAAGTAGGTGGTACTGCTCCCTAGAAGTCCAGGGGGTAGCTAACTTCCTGATTTCTGCTCCTGTGGATGCCAGGGGAAGTAAGAGTAGGCGGGAGGCGGGTGAAATGGGGAAAACCCGAGCATGCAAACAAAACTGAACAGGCATTAAGAGGCAAGTGGACACTCTGGGGAGAACGGGTGATTGGAAAGCAGCACTAAAGGGCTACCCTTAGTCACTAGCTCAGCAAGTCGGCTGAGAAGTGAGGGCTCAAGCTCTAAACCTGGGACTGCCACCCATGGTTTGACAGAAGAGCCAAATGAGAACTGGTGGGCAACTGTGGGGACAGAGACAGGTGAATGCGTGACAGAACATGTGTGTCCCTATTGGTGGCTGGGCTTCAGAAGCATCTGCTCTCTACGGGGGTGGGGTGTAGGGGGGGTCACCTTGAGGTAGGGCTTAGTACCCACACAAATATGCAAATGGATTAGTCTCAAAACATTACATAACATGGGTATTTTACCGAAGTCTCTTTGGAAAGGGAGAAGGGGACTTCCGCCACCTAACATTTCCCTCCCCAAATCTACATATCTCCTCTCTTTTCCTCTGAGGTTCCCGGGCAAATTCCTCCCTGCGCTCCAGCAGCGTCGACTGTCCCAAGATATTCAGGTGTCCTTCCCAGTGTGCACACAAAAATCTTGTTAGATAGCCTGATAGTGACCCAACTAGGCAGGCTCCTTCAATCTCAGTAGAGCCCATAGATTCCCGGAAGAGAGGAGAAACCTGACCACTACATCCTCCAGTCCCTCTGGCAGAGCAGTACCTTAACCCCACTCCAGCCCTCACCCTAGGCTTCTGGGTGAGGAAACTTAAATACCCTCTGAAAGTAGATCTCAAACTTCACCCAACTGCTAGGCGTGTCTTTACAGCTCTGAGGTGCCAAGAGAGAAGAGGAATGATACGGGCAGCCCAGAGTCCAAGATTCTGCTCCCAAGAGACTGTCCTTCTCGCAACCTCTACACCTGTTCCTAGAAACCAGGCTGCGTACCGGGGTCAGTTTCATTGATTTCCCCCTCCCTGGCCTCGACTGCCCCGTTCAGTGTGCCCCTCTCCTCGGAGGACCCACACTATCCTGGATCCAAGACTCCGTGGCCCCGTCTCCCTGGGCTCCCCCACGCCGGGACTGAAGGCGCCCTCTGTACGGCTCCCTCGTCCTCAGACACCGGCTGCCCCCCAGTTCTAGGCCACCCGGACTTCCAATGCCCCGCCCCCACCGAGTTCTCAACTCACCCGCCTGGCCGCAGCTGCTGCCGCCGCCTCCTTGCGGAAACTCACGGCTTCCCGGGAGCCCGAGAAGCCAGTGACAGTCGCATCACTTCCGCCCAGCGGCGCAGCCAATCAGCGACGGGTCCCTCGGCCGGCCCGACCAGCCGGGAGCAACTGGCTGTAGGGGGCCGGCTCCTTCGGGCATCCTCCACTGAGAGAGCAGCGTGTGTGGGTGCTCCTCGCGGGCGCCCACCGCCCCGAGTTCTCGGGGCATCTTCAAGAGGGACTTTCTCTATAGGGACGGTCCTCTCCTTCATGGTGTCCTCTGGAAAGGGCATCTCGGTTGCGACCTTTAAAAACACCTCGTTCCTGTTCTTCCTCTGATCGTCATGACCCCGACTCTCCCCGTAATCTTCCTAGAGGGGGTCCTCCCTCCACCAAGTCTCCTTCCTTCTCGCGGTCGCATCTCCCTTAGTCCCTGCGCCCCGGGAGAAGTCCACTAGTATCTTAGGGGCTTCCTCAGCGTCCGCGACCCCTTGACGGTGCCGGCTCCGGCCGCCAGAGGGCGCCGTCGGGGGCGGCGCAGTGCCACCGCGGCCTCTCCTCTGCCGGCCGAGCCTCGCCCCCGCCGCTCGTGCCGCCGGAAGTGGGAGGTGTCGCGCGCGGGCCGGCGCTCGACCCCTCCCCCCAGGCTCGGCCGCCCCCTCCCCCCGCTCCGCCCGCTCAGGTGAGTCCCGTCCCTCCCCCCCCTTCCCTCCCGGGGGCGCGGCGCGGGAGGTGTGTGCGGGGCGGGCGCGCGGGCGGGGGCTGCGGCTCGAGGGGCTGGGGTCGGGGCGGGGGGCGTGGAGGGAGCTGCGGGGATGGGGGGCGGGGGTCCCGGCCTAGAAGTGGGACGGGGGTGGCAGCCGGGCGGGGGGCGAGGGCAAGGTGCGGAGGGGCTCTGGCCGGAGGAAGCTGCAGGCTGGGCCAGCCCCCTGTGGAGGGCGGCCGGGACCACCGGCGTCGCTTCCCCCCATTGTCCCCTTCGCGACCGTCCCCCGATCTCCCCCCGAGGACCCGTCGCTCCCAGCGTCGCCGTCTGGTCGCCGCCAGGTTGCGGTACAGGGCTTCCCTTGGCTCCTTCGACTTAAAGCCCCCTGCCGCAGCCTCCTGCCAGATGTCCCTGTCCCTCTCCCCTTTGGGCTCTCAGCCACGGAGTCGCACGTAGGACCCGTGCCCTGTGGTTTCGTTTCCCGGGCGCCAAGGACCCCCGGCCCGGGCCCTGATGGGGCAGGATGTTTGCACCTGTGCGAGCAGTAATGGCGATCTGGGGCCTGTTTTCTCCCGGGAGCCTCGTATAATTTGATGAGGGAAACTGAGGCACGGGGGGTCTCCGGCCTGGGACTGAAGTGTGGACACAGCCCAGCCTCCATGCCTGCCCTATGCGCCCTTGGAGGGTCAGGGATGTACCTGGGATGCTATTAAAATAAAAACAAGAATTTAAACTAACCCTGTGTTACACCACCAACCACCCGCCCCCCCCCCCCGCCCCAATATTCATTTTTATTCTTCCTCTTCACCACAGAAGGCGTGAGTTTGTCCTGCAACATCTCTTACTTGGATTACCGTGTTTTTCAGCTTCTCATTTTCATGCTGGAGTAACCAAGATTCTCATACTCTGGCACCTTTAGTAACTCTAAAGAGTCTGTACTTTCCTCAGTCAGTGGTTGTCAGACTTTTCCCATCTGTGGGGAACCCAGAGTAAAAGTGAAAGATACTTGGATTGCCCGATAAAATATTGCTTTTTCTCTCTCACACGAACATCTCCAAATTAATGGAGAATGCTTTTAATGTAACAGCCATAAAATGATTTTAAAACATAAGCTATTATTGATGTTAGGCCCCAAATCACATCCTTTGTAAATGATACTAGGCAAGGTAGGTAGGCATGTGGATCATTTGGAAGATTCTCATGGTCTGTGAGACTGCATTTCTCCTAAAGTGAAAAAGCTTTGCGCACATATGTGTGTGTGTATATATATATATATGTATATATATACATATACATACACATACATATATAGTGACGTGTGAGGATTGATATCCCTTGGGACCTATTGCATGTAATGGCTCTTTTAATATCCTACTAGGGAATACCCTTGAGTGTTTTCTTCTGGAGCCCAACTTTTTCTTTGTGTTTCTTTCCGGATATGACGCTGTTGTATGGACATTCTGAGAGGGTGAGATATATTTGTTTTGAAATTTTGGAACTTGTAGCCTGTACTTTGTTTCTGAACGTGCAGAGCATGATGGCAGCATCTGAGGTCGCTGGCGTGGTGGCCACTGCTCCCAGTCCTCCGGAATCCTCGTCTAGTGTATGTGCTTCCAAACCAGACGAAGTTCTCCCAGATGGTCTAAGGTAACGTGTGGACTCTCAACTGGGAAGATTTCATTTGGGTAAAGGGCTTTGGAGATGGGCTTCTTACAGAAGTGTAGTTCGTCTTTCCCCTTTTTGGCTCTAGTGACATTGCATTAGATGAAGCTTTTTAAAGGTAGGGACTATCTGATCTATATTTGTATGTCTGGTACCCAACACAGTATCTGACACTCAGCAGGCATGCTAATTATTTGTTGAATAAATAGATTAAAATACAGGGGGTCAAACTCATTTGAAAATGCAAATATTTCCCACCTTCTCCTACATGGACTATCTGTTTATTTAACTCTATGTTTATATGTTACATCTGTGTGTGTGTGTGTGTGTGTGTATATATGTGTGTATATATATATATATATATACACACATACATTATATCTAATGTATTAGACACATGTATATGTATCTATGTCTATCTGTAGGTAAATAGATGGCTTTATTAATATGGCTTACTGCTTCATGTATGTATTTCGCCTTCCAGCTAAACTCTTGAGGACAGGAATTATGAATACCCAACCTTGTTTTACAGTGCTTAAAACATTGTTATGTATAATGTTGTACTAGGTTGACTATGTATCCTACCTCAACTCTTTTTTTAATTTAATTTTTATTTATTTATTTATTTATGGCTGTGTTGGGTTTTGTTGCTGTGCGCGGGCTTTCTCTAGTTGCGGTGAGCAGGGGCTACTCTTCGTTGCGGTGCGCGGGCTTCTCATTGCGGTGGCTTCTCTTGTTGCGGAGCATGGGCTCTAGGCATGCAGGCTTCAGTAGTTGTGGCATGCGGGCTCAGTAGTTGTGGCTCGCTGGCTCTAGAGTGCAGGCTCAGTAGTTGTGGTGCACGGGCTTAGCTGGTCCGTGGCATGTGGGATCTTCCTGGACCAGGGCTCAAACCTGTGTCCCCTGCGCTGGCAGGTGGATTCTTAAGCACTGTGCCACCAGGGAAGTCCCCTACCTCAACTCTTTTGTGGAGTACCTAGGACCTAATACAATAGATAACACTGTGCTAGCAGCTCTATATGTGTTAACACATTTAATTCTCTCAACAATCTCAGCAGGTAGGTGCTAATGCTATTATTCCCATTTATAGGTGAGAGAACTTGAGACACAGAGAGGTTAGTAACTTGCCTAAGGTTACCAAGCTATGTTGGAGTCAGTGTTTGACCCCAGGCTCGTCTGACTCCAGCGTACTTAATAAATGTAACAAATCTGTTACATTTGTATTTATTGTTACTTGTTATTAAGTGGGTAATGGGGAAAAATGTTAAGTAAACCTAACCATAAACTTGGATCTTCATTTTATAAATAAAATCAGACACATACTACTAGTAATAATAATAACAGCTAAGGTTTATTGAGTGTTTACTGTGTGCCAGAACTAAATACACCAGATGCTTTATCTCATGTAATCCTCACAATAATCTTATTAGGTAGGTAATATTATTTCTGTTTTACAAATGAAGTTAAGTAACTTGCCCAGAGTTAAACAGCTAGTAAATAGCAGAGTCAGGATTCACACCCAGGTACTGTATCTGCCCAAATTTATAATTAAGTGTCCCCCCCACCCCGCCACCACTTAATCCCCAGCAAGGAATCAGCTTAGAGTATTTATAAAGATTTTTCATGTCACAAGGTTCTGTCTCTGTTGTTTTATTTCGAACAGTAGGTACTATTGAGGAAAGGAAGGCACAATGACCTGAAGCCTCAGTCAGTACTAGTTTGGAGTCCTTAAGGGCATAGTTGACAGAAGCAGTTGTTTTTTTTTTTTTTTTTTTTTTTTAGTAGCAAAGGAATTTAACACACATTATTCCTGGTAAAAGACTTCCAGTCGTGAATGTTGGATGTCATTGTAAATAGGTTTTGAAGATCTCTTAAAAGCAGTATGGTAAATGGTTGTAGCAAACAATAAAACAACGATTTCAGTGTATACATGTGTGTATATTTGTTATCTGGGGTAAAAGTTCTGCTGACAGCTTCAATTTTGGATTCAAAATCGTTTGTACTTCAGGCAACTTGAAGTGAAGATGCTATGCTCTGGAAAGCTGTTGGTGGTTCTGGTCAAAGATCTGTAAAATGAATTTGAATGAAAATTATTTTTGTGAAACAAGAGTGGAATTTAAAACAATATTTCTCAGTCAATATTTTATTTATTAAAATATGTGGAACAAAATTAGTACATGTACCTAAATGAAATATTCTAAGTAACGGCAGGCTGTTTCACCTGCATCCCCCCAAACCTTTGGCTCCTCAGCGTCATTTCTGTGTGACCGTTCACTGCGGACTGTCTCCTGAACCCAGCTTCTTCACCACCACACCATACTCCCTGCATGTGGGACAGAAATCACTGGGTGGAAACTAAGTTCCTTTTCAGTTGGCTAATTTGGAGGGGTTTATATAGTCTCGTTTTGTTCTTCTAGTGGTTATGTTAAAAGTATTATATATTTAAGCCTCTTTAAGATTGGGTGAAGAGAGAAACCTTTTATCTTATGTTTTTGATAGCCCCAAAGACCCTGCACAGAAGCACAAGAACTCGCCTCTGTCGAGTGTAAGTAACCAAACGATAACCAAGGAGAATAACAGAAATGCCCATTTGGAACACCCAGAGCAGAATCCTGGTTCATCAGCAGGTGACACTTCAGCAGCGCACCGGGCGGTTTTAGGAGAAAACTTGATAGCCACGGCCCTTTGTCTCTCTGGCGGTGGGTCTCAGTCTGATTTGAAGGACGTGGCCAGCACAGCGGGAGAGGAGGGGGACACACGCCTCCGGGAGAGCCTCCACCCCGCCACTCGGTCTCTTAAGGCAGGGTGCGATACAAAGCAGCTTGCCTCCGGGAATTGTCCTGAAGAGAAGGCCCCGCAAGCCTCCATCCTAAAGGAAGGGAGCAGGGACACAGGCTTGGATTTCCCACCTGTGGTGCCTCCAGCAAATGGGGTTGAAGGAGTCAGAGTGGATCAGGATGATGATCAGGATAGCTCTTCCCTGAAGCTTTCTCAGAACATTGCCGTCCAGGTCAAGTATCAAGTTTCTACTACTAAAACGGAATTTGGGCTTTTAATTTTTTTTTTTTTTTTTGAGGGCAGGAGATATTTCTTCATAGTTGGTGGAGAACTACTCTGTCTCGTTTTTTTACTGGCAACTCTCATACTGTTTTCATACGGTGCTCTGTGATGACTTCATTCTGGTGTTCAATAAGTAACAGCCCGTGTCTAATCGTGGCGACCAGGAGCTTCATGACTTACATACAATCACTTTCACTGAGTAATTGATGAGCGTAGGTCATTAGCATTCATATTTCCTATCTTCGACCTTGCAGGAGGAATCCTTGTTAATTCTCTGACCTACATCTTAAGAAGTACGGGGTATCCTGCCTTCTAGTGACTGGTGTGCTTTTTTGTAGCAGGAAGGATGAGCACAGTAAATTGTAGGGGCCAAAATTCTTATCTGAGTCTCGAGCTTGTCTCTCCATCAGTTGTTGGGTCTTGTTCAGCTTATTTTGTGGGGTAAATGCTTCATGCTACATGGATGTCAGTGGACATTTGCCAGAACTACAGTTTTCTTGCTATGAAGCTGATAAGGGGAGAGAGCAAAAAGTTAACTTCTCAGTTCCTTGTGGCAGATTTCTCGGTGAAAGGACGAGAGCAATTCTGCCTTTTAGAATGTCTCTGAACAGTTCTGAATATAATTGTTTCTTTCTTTATAGACTGACTTTAAGACGGCTGATTCAGAGGTAAACACAGATCAAGATATTGAAAAGAATCTGGTAAGTAGTTAAACTGCAATTGTTCATGTATGAAACCATTAATGCAGAAGACCTAGAGTCACATCATCTCAGTTGGAAAAGGTGCAGGAACCTCCTTTATAAAATCCCTGACAGATGGTCAGCTAACTTCTACTTGATCACCTCCAGAGATGGGAAGCTTACTACTCATGAATCAGCATATTGCATTTTGAAAATAGCTCTTATTGTTAGATCTTATTATGAGGTGAGAACAGAACCACTAAAACTTCTTGTTATAGTTCTCTCTTGAGCTATGTAGAGTAAATCTAAATCCCTTTACTTGTTAGCCCAAAATATATTCAAAATGTTTTTTTAAATGCTTTTTCCTCTTATCCTTTAAGTCTGAACCTTTCCAGGTGAAACATCCCCAGATTTTTTTTTTTTTTTTTTGCGGTACGCGGGCCTCTCACTGTTGTGGCCTCTCCCGTTGCGGAGCACAGGCTCCAGATGCGCAGGCTCAGTGGCCATGGCTCAGTGGCCATGGCTCACGGGCCCAGCCGATCCGTGGCATGTGGGATCTTCCCAGACCGGGGCACGAACCCGTGTCCCCTGCATCGGCAGGCGGACTCTCAACCACTGCGCCACCAGGGAAGCCCCCCAGATGTTTTTTTAACATTCTTCTTTTCTTCATATGATATATTTTTCAGTCTTTTCTTCAACCTGGTTACTTTTTCACCTAGACATGTTACACCTTCTCAATGTTTCTTTTGCAAGGTGATCCTGAGAGCTAAATGTAGTAATGCACATACAGTGTAATTACTTCACTATACAATGGAACTGTTGTGTCATTCTGTGATGACATTCTACACACCATTTCCTAAGCTGACATCGTCACACTGTGGAGCTTTCACTTTTACTCCATCAGGTCTTTTTCTCATGTATTGCTTAGTTGTATCTTCCAATTTTATGCCAAGGTAATTATTATTTTTTTTTTGAGCGTCACTTTTTAAATCTGTTTTTTACTTAAAAATAGGTAATTGGTTTTTAAAACTTAGAGAACTTCACATTTATTTTTGTTAAAGTGGTCCCCTTGATCTTTCCCTGGCATTTTGTGGCAAAACTTCCACCCTGTAAGTGTGTGGATATCTGAATGTCCATTTTTCAAGAGGAAGGATAATGCTAGAAAAGGCACCCTAAGTTCAGGAAGGGGTCTTTAGGGTAAGATATGTTAATTGAATGGAAATAAAGAGGAAAACCAGGTAAGAAAGTGGATATTTGGTGCAAGTTGAAGAAATTGAGGGGCAGATGGAAAGAAGTAAGTTATTGGAGTACATTAACCACATGAAAACTTTTAAATAAAGAGTAGCAACTCAGGAGTTATTTATAACAGGCAAGTAAAAAGATCCTAGAGATGAGAGATCGATGGCGATGTGCTGGGTGAGAACCAGGCTAGGAGAGAACCTCCAGGAGAAGGAGGAGAAGTCGCCTTTTCTTGAGCATTTATTCTAAACACTTTACACGGAGTGTTTATTTGGTCCCCACAGTTGTAAGGCAGGGTTTCGTTGACCATATAGCAATTGAAGGGGCCAACTAAGAGGTAATAGATAAGCTTTAGCATCAGTCTGAAACAGGGCTGGAAACTGGCAAGCCATTAGGCCAAAAGAGGCCCAGGGTTGTGTTTTGTTTGGCAGTATTCTTTTGGGTGGTGGTGTGGCCCACATGCTGTAATTTTTAAAATTATTATTATTTTTTAAATATTTATTTATTTAATTTGGTTGCGCCGGGTCTTAGCTGCGACAGGTGGGCTCCTTCGTTGCGGCTCCAGGGCTCCTTAGTTGTGGCACACGAACCGTCAGTTGCAGCATGCACGTGGGGTCTAGTTCCCCGACCAGGGATTGAACCGGGCCCCGTGCATTGGGAGCGTGGAGTCTTAACCACTGTACCACCAGGGAAGTCCCTATTATTATTATTTTTAAAACACAATATGATTATATTTTAGTACACAACCAAAATACAAAACACCGTAGTAAGTTGACAGCAGTAGAACATGGTATTTCATTTGCATTGCATAACAGATGGTTAACATTCTTAGTTGTAAATGAGTTCTCCACATGCTTTTTTTTTTTTTTTTCTCTTCTCGGTACGCGGGCCTCTCACTGTTGTGGCCTCTCCCGTTGCGGAGCACAGGCTCCGGACGCGCAGGTTCAGCAGCCATGGCTCATGGGCCCAGCCGCTCCGCGGCATGTGGGATCTTCCCAGACCGGGGCATGAACCCATGTCCCCTGCGTCGGCAGGCAGACTCCCAACCACTGCGCCACCAGGGAAGCCCTCCACATGCTTTTAAAAAGGCATTGGGACTAAGCAGGTATTAAGCTTAGTGGCAATACAGGGAACTTTGCTCCTGTTTTATTTGCTACCCTTTTCATGCATTTACAGTAATTGCCCACTGCCTGCATTTGAAATTGTGACTCCTGCTTCTCAGGACCAATACACCATCAATGAAACAAAGTAACAATGTGTAACCCTTTGGCTTATTAAGATGAGAATTGTATCAAGTAATTTGCTGTATGCCTTTAAGCCATCCATTTGTATGTACTAATAGTATGTACCTTGAGACTTCTTTCTGTGAAGACTAGTTTTTTTCCCCATCCTGTGTTGTTAAAAAGATGCATTATCGGGCTTCCCTGGTGGCGCAGTGGTTGAGAGTCCGCCTGCCGATGCGGGGGACACGGGTTCGTGCCCCGGTCCGGGAAGATCCCACGTGCCGCGGAGCAGCTGGGCCCATGAGCCATGGCTGCTGAGCCTGCGCGTCGGGAGCCTGTGCTTCACAACGGGAGAGGCCACAGCATTGAGAGGCCCGCGTACCGCAAAAAAAAATAAAATAAAATAAAAATTTTTTAAAGATGTATTATGGACAGAGAGGTACCATAAGGAAGTAGAGAGAGAAGAAAAGAATCCTCTAATCTACTAGTTTTCATCAATTGGTTCTTAACCTTTAACTTTTCTTGGGTTAAGGTCCTCTTTCAGAATCTTTTGAAAACTTCGAATTCTCATCTCAAAAAATTTTATACACACCTATCCATAGACCTCAGGTTCAGAATCCCTTTAAAGTTATGATGCTAAGGTGTCATCTGTTTAGGGAGCTTTAGTTACATTTCAGTACATGGACTAAGGACTAGCTTATCCCAAAGCTAAAGTCCCATCTTGAGAGCTTATTTTTTTATTATCATAGTGTGATAAGTTTTTCCCTATTCACTTCTAAAACCTTTCTTTTCTTTGAAAGTAGTTACCGTCTAATGAACAAATTCAGTTTAATGCTCTGTTTAAATTTTACACTGGTTACCTTATACCAAATGTGCTTTAAATTGACCCTCTAAGTTTTAGTGTTCCTTTGAAAGGTAATCATTGCTTTTCTTGATTTATTAATGTGGGGGAGGCAGAGCTGAACTGTGACCCTTAGAAGCTTCACCTCTTTTATTGACTTATTTATTTATTGGCTGCGCTGGGTCTTGGTTGTGGCATGCGAGAGCTTTAGTTGCAGCCTGCATGCGGGATCTAGTTCCCCAACCAGGGATCAAACCCGGGCCCCCTGCATTGGGAGCGTGGAGTCTTACCCACTGGACCACCAGGGAAGTCCCAGAAGCTTTACTTCTGCTCCCTATTTATATGAGAGCTTACCGATTTGACCAATCTGAATACCAAGTGCCCCAGAACTCTTTGGTGGACCTGCCAATTTGTAGTGCTAATGACCAGTAAGGAGTCCAGTTTCTGGATGCATTTTGAGTAGTTGATCTGTTCTTTGTTTTTGCTCGTTCTTCTTCCTCCTAATAGATAAAATACCTTATTTCTCTTATTCCCTACTGCAGGGAAATTAGCCTATAAAGGGTCAGTTAGTAGATATCTTAGGCTTTGTGGGCTATATGTGCTCTTTTGTAACCACTCCACTCTGCTGTTGTAGTGTGAAAGCAGCCAGCCAGCTGTCGGGTATGGCTGTGTTCCTATAAAACATTTACTTACAAAAACAGACGGTGGGACCTCCCCGGTGGCGCGGTGGTTAAGAATCTGCCTGCCAATGCAGGGGACACGGGATCAAGCCCTGGTCCGGGAAGCTCTCACATGCCGCAGAGCAACTCAGCCCTTGCGCCACAACTACTGAGCCTGTGTGCCACAGCTACAGAAGCCCGCGCACCTAGAACCTGTGCTGCGCGACAAGAGAAGACACCGCAATGAGAAGCCCCCGCGCTGCAATGAAGAGTAGCTCCCGCTCACGACAACTAGAGAAAGCCCGTGCACAACAATGAAGACACAATGCAGCCAAAAATAAAATAAATAAATAAAATTTAAAAACAAAAACAGTTGATGGCTGGATTTGGCCCACACGCCATAGGTTGCCACCCTCCATCTTAGCGCAGTGTTGTACAATAGAATTTCCTTTAACGACGGAAGTGTTCTGTATCTGTGCTGTCCAGTATAGTAGCCACTACTCACATGTAGCTACTGAGTACTTGGAATGTGGTAAGGTGACTGAGGAGCTGGATGTTTACATTTGCTTATTCTAATTAATTTAGCTACAGCATCGGACACTGCAGCCATAGCGCCCTGCATGGTGCCTTGAACAGGGACATGGTGAATGTTTCTTGCAATGAAATTGGCGAATTAAACTTCTCATCTGTTGTTACCAATAGGATAAAATGATGACAGAGAGAACCCTGTTGAAGGAGCGTTACCAGGAGGTCCTGGACAAGCAGAGGCAAGTGGAGAATCAGCTCCAAGTGCAATTAAAGCAACTTCAGCAAAGGAGAGAAGAAGAAATGAAGAATCACCAGGTATTCTGCTTATATTAAAATTGGCAATAAGTAAAGTATAGTCCCTAATCAGACTTTAATTTTGTTTTCAAATTAATAGAAATAGAAAAGCAGTATTTAACTTTTTAATGGTTATCATAGAATTTTAAGGATAAACAAGAACCTTCGAGGGCATCTCGTCCAAACTCTCACTCCTATTTTGGTTCAGAGAGGAAAGGATTATTTATTTTTTTTTTTTTTCGGTACGCGGGCCTCTCACTGCCGCGGCCTCTCCCGTTGCAGAGCACAGGCTCCGGACGCGCAGGCTCAGCGGCCATGGCTCACAGGCCCAGCCACTCCACAGCATGTGGGATCTTCCCGGACCGGGACACGAACCCGTGTCCCCTGCATCGGCAGGTGGACTCTCAACCACTGCGCCACCAGGGAAGCCCAGGATTATTTATTTAATATATTTGTTTGACTGCCTACCTGGAAAGTCATTTGATTAGACTCCTGTCTCACACTATATTTAAAAATACAATTCTAAGTAAATTAAAAATATACATATAAAAACTGGAAAAAAATTTTAAATCAGAAGAAAATTTAGAAGAATATTTATATACCTGAAGTTGCAAGAGGTCATTTTAACCCAGGCAGAAAACCTAGAAGGTTTTTTAAAATTAATTATATATAATTAAACTTTTTGGCATGGCAAATGATATAGAAAACAGTCAAAAGATCAATATTAGACTGAGAGAAAATATTTATAGCACATATGACGAAGGGTTTAAGATGACATTCTGAGATTCCTACAAATTCATGGTAAAAGCCAAACAATCTAGGGAAACCAGGAAAAGTTACTGTATTACTTTCCTATTGTAATAGTTTTCTACTGTAATAGTTTCCCATTGGTGCTGTAACAAGTTGTCGTGAATTTAGAGCTTAAAACAACACGTTTATTATCTTACAGTTCTGTAGGTCAGAAGTACAATGTGGGTGTCACTGGGCTAAAATCAAGGTATTAGGAGGGCAGCATTCCTTTCTGGGGACTCTAGGGGAGAATACATTTCCCTGCATTTCTGGCTTCTAGAGGCTGTTTGCATTCCTTTACCTGTGGCCCCCGTCTCCATCTTCAGACTCAGCAACGTTGCATTTCTGTAACTGTTCTTCCCTAATCACATCTTCCTCTGATCACAACTGGTAAAGTTTCTCTGCTTTTAAAGACCCATTTGTGGTTAGATTGGGCCCACCCCGATAATCCAGGATTGTCTCCCTATCTCTTTTGCTATGGAGGGTAACATAGGTTCCAAGGAGTAGAACATGGACATTTTTGTGGGGAAGAGGTTATTATTTTGCCCATAACAGTCACAAACAGTAATTCACAGAAGAGGAAAAGCAAATGGGTAACAAATGTATGAAAATAAACTCAGCCTTACTAGTGTCGATCCATTTGTATAGCAAATATTTTTTGAGTTCCTGATGTATGCTCTGAAGATTTAGTGGTGAACGAAACATAGTCTCTGCCTTCATTGAATGCTTATTCTAGTTGGAGGAGACAGACAATAAAAACAGTAAAAGAACAGGAGGTAGTGAAATGCTCATTAAAATTAGTAGATACCATTCCTCCCTCTTTCCCAAGAGATTGGGAAAAATGAAATAAGTTGTCAAAGGTAAGGAAAAATGAACCCTTTTTAGACATTGGTAGGAGTGTGAATTGTTATGACCATTTTAGAAAAGATATTAGGGCGACTTCCCTGGTGGTCCAGTGGTTAAGACTCCAAGCTTCCAATGCAGGGGGCACAGGTTCAATTCCTGGTTGGGGAACCAAGAATCCCGCATGACGTGCAGCGTGCCAAAAAGTTAAGTAAATAAATAAACAAGTAAATAAGTATATAAATAAAGTCTGAAGAAAAAAGATATTAGGAATTGTCACTTAAAATTTTAATATGTATATATACCTTGACTTAGCAGCCTCATTGTTAGGAGTCTATTCTACAGAACTAAAAGCTTTTGTATGAAAATATAGGCATACAGGATGTTTATTGTAGTATTATTTGTAGTTACAAGAAAACTGAAATCAGCCTTAACAGGATGGACTCTTAACAGAGACTGGTTGACTAAATTCGTTATATACATGTCATGTCGTGTTATACAGCTATTTTTTAGTCTGATCTATATTTATCGATAGTATGCTCATGTCAGGTGAACAAAAGCAAGATGCAGAATAGTGTATATAAAATTACCTCATTATAAAGAAAACAAAAAAGCAAATACGTACGTAAGTACACATGTATTTGTGTAAGAATGGAGAAAGATGTGAAAGCATAGAACAAAACGCTTAACACATTGATTACTTTATGGGTGGAATTGGTGTGAATTAGGGGTGACTTAACTTTATTACTTTTTGTTTGACTTCTTATTATAAATATATATGTATATAGTTAAATAATTTAAAAAGAACAAAGATAACCCCTACGCATAATAAAGTAGAGCCATAACAAAACAAAACAAGACCATATTTGTTGGAAGTAGCAAACTCCCACCCTGTGCAAGAATGCCTTTCTCAGCAGTCTTGACAGGTGTTCATTCAGCCTTTATATGAGCACCAGTAATGGAGAGCTTATTGCTTCACAAGGCAGTAAATTCCGTTTTTGAACAGTTGTGATTGTTAGAAATTCTTTTCTCCTGTTGAATTGAAATCTGCTTTATTATAACTTACTCCCTTTTGGGACTTTTTTGACTGCTTTTGGGACTACTCATCACCAGATTCCTTCAATTCAATTTGAAATCACTAAAGTCAATATGTTAATTTGAGATAGTTGAAAGTAACCTTCAGACCAAAAGAACTAATTCATTTCCTTCTTTATTTGTGTGTGACTATAATTGTGCGGGACTTAGGAGATATTAAAGGCTATCCAGGACGTAACAATAAAGCGAGAAGAAACGAAGAAGAAGATAGAGAAAGAAAAGAAGGAGTTTTTGCAGAAGGAGCAGGATCTGAAAGCTGAAATTGAGAAGCTTTGTGAGAAGGGCAGAAGGTAAATGATGCTGTTAAGAATAAAAACCCTGGGTTTATGTGTGTGTGTTTGTACATAACAGGCCGGTTCTATTTGTGTTTCTACTTTCTTTTCTTTCAGTCTAATTTTTATTTGAAAAACAAGTGCACAAATTAAAATCCTTGAGTGATTTTAGCTTTTTCAGCACCCTATGTTAAATTTAATAAAAAGTGTTTCAGGGATTCATCAGTACATTGAAATAACAGCAGCTCATTGTTTGGTCCCAAGTCTGATCAGGATTTTGATATATATCTAACACCTATTTCACTTGCCTTATCTGATGTTTTATAGTTTAGGCTATGAGGCTACTTTGCTTATGTTAAATTCAGCACCAAAACCAAATTTCAAACTAACATTGCAAGCTGTTTGCAAAGCTATTTAATGGATCTGTGTCCTTTTCAGGGTACTGCAGCAAGGCTAAGGCAGGCATAGAATTTGGTCATAGTTTCAATTTTCTAAGTTTCTTAATGTGACCTGTTTGGAAGTCAAAATAGTTGTGAATATTGTGATTTTATTTAAATTCTACTAAAATGCATTTTTATTTATCAAGAAAATCTTGGCTTGCTAATGTGTCCGAGAGCTAAGTGAAAAGTAGCGGGATACTTGGAAAATGATTCAGCAAATGAGGAAAGATGATAAATAAGACAGGACATTTTGGAATAATTGGGAAAATTTGAATATGGATTACGTATTAGGTAATATTGTATCAATGGTAAATATTTTGCGTGTGATTATGTAGAAGGTTCTTATTCTTAAGAGATACTTGCTGAAGTTTTAGGGGTTGTCATGATGTCTATAACTTTCAGGTGGTTCAGAGGGAGAAGTAAAGTAAATGTGGCAAAAAGCATTAACAGCTGGTGAATCCAGATGAAGGGCATGTGTTCACTGGACTATTCTGTTAACTTTTCTGTTGGTTTGAGATTTTCAAAGAAAAAGTTGCAGGAGTCGGGGTAGATACAGGGAGAAATTAGCCAGGCAACGAATAGGGAAGAAGACATTGCAGGCAGGGGACCTACGGACGAGAGAGATTAGCAACTGAGACCTGAGGTAGAGAGGAATGAGGCTAGTGGAGGAGGCAGAAGCCCGATCACAAAGGCTCAGATCCCGTGTAAGGAGTTTGAGATTTTCCCTGATAGTGAGAGACTAGAGAGTTTTAAGGAGGGGGTGGGGATCAGAGGATGAGATTTGCACTTTATTTATTTATTTTCAATTAAAAAATTTTTAATTGAAGTATGGTTGATTTATAATATATTAGTTTCAGATGTACAACGTAGTGATTTAAAACCTTTATGGATTATATTTAAAGTTATTATAAAATATTGGCTGTATTCCCTGTGCTGTATACTATATCCTTACAGCTTATTTATTTTATACACAGTAGTTTGTACGTCTTAGTCCCCTACCCCTATCTTGCCCCTCCTCCCCATCTCCCCACTGGCAACCACCTGTTTGTTCTCTGTATCTGTGGGTCTGTTTCTGTTTTGTTACATTCATTCATTCTTTTCACTTTTTAGATTCCACATATAAGTGATGACATACAGTATTGTGTTTTTCTATCTGATTTATTTCACTTAGCATAATGCCCTTCAGGTCCATCCATGTTATTGCAAATGGCAAAATTCCATTCTTTTTTATGGCTGAGTAGTATTCCATTGTGTGTGTGTGTGTGTGTGTGTGTGTGTGTGTGTGTGTATGTGTATGTATTACCACATCTGTTTTATCCATTCATCTGTTGTTGGACACTTAGGTTGCTTCCATATCTTGGCAACTGTAAATAGCGATTTGCAGTTTAGATAGATGATGATGCCAGTTGGAGAATAGACTGGAGTAGTGTAGAGGACCAGTTAGGAGACTTATCTGTCAGAGCCTGTGTTATAATAATGGTGGCCAAAACTGAAGTGCTGCAGTGGGGAGGAGAGATGTGAATCCATTTGTAAGGTGTTAGGGGTAGCACTAATAGGTGGACAGGGAAGAGTTATAGAAACGCCCATATTTCTGGCTTGGAAAATTGGGGAAATAATGGGGTTTTCTAATAAGATGTCTTATTCAGTTACCCACTTTACAAGTTTCAAGTTAAATTCTACCTCCTTTGTAAAATCTTCCTTATCCAGTTCTTCCTGAACTAATCTCTCCCTCCTCAGAACATCTATACAGCTCTCTGCTGATTTTGCTTATTTTTTTATTTTTATTTTTATTTTTTTTTTTTGCTGTATGCGGGCCTCTCACTGTTGTGGCCTCTCCCGTTGCGGAGCACAGGCTCCGGACGCGCAGGCTCAGCGGCCATGGCTCATGGGCCCAGCCGCTTCGCGGCATGTGGGATCTTCCTGGACTGGGGCACGAACCTGTGTCCCCTGCATCGGCAGGCGGACTCTCAACCACTGCGCCACCAGGGAAGCCCCCTGATTTTGCTTATTTTTGTATTATACTGTACTCTACATTTTTTTCTACCTGTGTATGTCTTGGCTGGCCATTGATATTGTAAGCCTCTTGAGGATGAAGACTGGACTCTCCCTCTTCATATGTATTTAAAATTTTTTTTTTTTACTCTTTTGTGTTCTTTTACACTTAGCTCAGTGCTATATACTGATAATTATTGGACAAATATTTGTTGAATTACTGGATAGGAAATTAAATTTCACCTTGATATTATAGATGAATTTACGTAATAGAAATTTGCTAAGTGCTTTGTACTGTTTGAAGGTAATTACTGTGTTTTTTAATGTAATTATAATTTTTAAAGAAGACACCATGAACTGACCAAAAAAAAAAAGACCAAATATTCAGTTTAGTCACATATTTGATTTTTTTTCTCCTTGACACCTGGCTGCTTTATAATGGACATTGTCTTGCCTTTGTGGGGACACTTTCTAGTTTCCAGCTTGCATCCTTCAAGATTATTGCTGGTACTAGAAAGGTGAGGCTTCCAAGCTAGTTCTCTTCTACGGCCGAACTTCTTTTTAAGCTCCCTGCCTTTAATAGTGACTCATCGAGAATAATAGCAAATAAGGCTCTTCTTGAATAAAGATGGTGAGCTTGCGCTTTAAGAGACATCATCAGTTGATTCACAAAGGTAGGTTGGGACCAGTAGCAGAAAAATTGCAATATCAAGCAAGGGTCTTCTTTTTTTTTTTTTTTTTTAATATTTATTTATTTATTTGGCTGCACCAGGTCTTAGTTGCGGCATGTGGGATCCTCCCGGACCGGGGCACGAACCCGTGTCCTCTGCATTGGCAGGCGGACTCTCAACCACTGCGCCACTGGGGAGGCCCGGGTCTTCTTTTTTAGAATGCTCTGAGCTTGCCTGATGAACTCGTGATAGAGTGATAGGTAAATAGCAGATCAAGGGAGTTAATGTTGGAAGCATTACTTTGGATGGGATATAAGAGTTTATGCTATATTGAAATTGACAGGGTGCAAGAGGATTCTTTTTGGAAATTTCTCACCAAATGCTAGCTTATTTAACTGGTATGCTTTGAAGTCCTAATAGCTTGTCTGGCAATCAGTAAATCTAGTGAGTATTTCTTAGGTGCAAAGCAGTGAGCCAGACTGTTCAGCATCCTGTATTTTGACCACAGCCTTCGGTCATTCCAGCTTTCTGTCTCATTCCCAGTAAATGTACACTTTGGCATCAAGTCCTCTTTCTTGTTTTTTGACTTCATTCCAGTTTCTCCCAGTCCTCCAGCTCCCTGGAAGCATTTCTTTGCCTAGCCAGACTGGACTCATGGTCCATTACTTGAATTTCTCCCTTACCATTACCATCAATTCTGTGGAGGCTTGTTCCTTTCCTTTCATTTTTCCATAGTACTCCAGTCCTGGGCCAAGTCAGCCCCCACACCTACCCCCCCACCCCGCCCCCTCCGACATCTCTATTCTTCTTATACTTGGGCTGCTGAGGGCTGCTGCAGGAGATCACACAGCTGTGTGTCTTGAGGCCAGAATAAATTTGACTTTCAAAAACACCCGGATCCTCAGGACTCCCTCTTCCTCTGAGGGCTGTCCCTAACTATTACCTCTCTTTCTAAACTTTCTGTCTCCACCACTTCTCTCCTTAGTCTTAGCAAATGATCTTGCCTTTTATTTGACTGAAAAAATAGGGGCCATCGAGTAAACCTTCCTTCAGTTTCCTATCAGCAGATACATCCATCTTTTCTTCCTGTCCTTGTATCTGAGTCTAAACTACCTGTGTGTGAATCCTGTTCCCTCTTGCTCTTCCCACTTCTCCATAAGTGACACCACACTCTCCTCCAGTGACTAAGCCGAATAACCAAGTCATTCTGAATTCTTCTCTTAACCCCTCTCTGCTTTACCAGGTCCTGTAGATTCTTAATATTAATTGCCCCTTTCTCTCCATTCACTCTGCCACTCTTAGTTCAGGTTTCTATCAGTTCTCCTAGATTCTGAGGCAGGCTACTAAACGTTCTTTGCCTCCAGTCTCCTCCATTTTCATTGGTCTAGTACAAATCTGTCGAAGAAATCTGTCAAAGAATACGGATCTGATAATGTCATTTCCCTGCTTAAAGTCCTTCATAGTTCCTAGGGTAAAGTTTAAACTCTTTAGTTTAATATAAGAGGCCCTCAATTATCTAGTCCCTGTTTATGTCCCTAGCTGCATCTTTTACCATTCCCCCAAACCACCATGCTAGTTTATACCTAACTACTACATGTTGTATCCTGAACTCACTTAAAACTCAGCCTGTATCAACTGCTCTAGAAAGCTTTCCCAGATACTCCCCTTATCCTCCCCTTCACACACCCTGACCGTTTAATTTAGATGACCCTCCTCCGTATTCACCTAGTATGGTGTGTATGCTTCTGTCATAACACTGACCTCTGATGGTCTTTTGTGTTTATTGGAATGTTTCCCACATTATATAGTCAGCTTCTCGAGGGCAGGTATTTTGATTATCTATCGCTGTCAAAAAAACGCTGTAGAACTTAGCATCTTAAAACAGCAACAATATTTTATTATTTCTCTCAATTCT